TCCAGATGGATTAAAGACTTAAACATAAGACCTAACACCATAAAAAACCTCGAAGAAAATCTAGGCAAAACCATTCAGGACATAGGCATAGGCAAGGACTTCATGACCAAAACACCAAAACCATTGGCAACAAAAGCCAAAATAGACAAATGGGACCTAATCAAACTCCACAGCTTCTGCACAGCAAAAGAAACAGTCATTAGAGTGAATCGGCAACCAACAGAATGGGAAAAAATTTTTGCAGTGTACCCATCTGACAAAAGGCTGATATCCAGAATCTACAAAGAACTAAAACAGATTTACAAAAAAACAAAACAAAACAAAAAAACCAAGCCCATTCAAAAGTGGGTGAACAGACACTTTACAAAAGAAGACATACATGAGGCCAGCAAACATATGAAAAAATGCTCATCATCACTGGTCATTAGAGAAATGCAAATCAAAACTACATTGAGATACCACATCACACCAGTTAGAATGGCGATCATTAAAAAATCTGGATACAACAGATGCTGGAGAGGATGTGGAGAAATAGGAACACTTTTACACTGCTGGTGGGAGTGTGAATTAGTTCAACCATTGTGGAAGACAGTGTGGCGCTTCCTCAAGGACCTAGAAATAGAAATTCCATTTGACCCAGCAATCCCATTACTGGGTATATATCCAAAGGATTATAAATCGTTCTACTATAAGGATACATGCACATGAATGTTCACTGCAGCACTGTTTACAATAGCAAAGACCTGGAACCAACCCAAATGCCCATCGATGATAGACTGGACAGGGAAAATGTGGCATATATACACCATGGAATATTATGCAGCCATCAAAAACGATGAGTTCATGTCCTTTGTAGGGACATGGATGAACCTGAAAACCATCATTCTCAGGAAACTGACACAAGAACAGAAAATCAAACACCGCATGTTCTCACTCATAGGTGGGTGTTGAACAATGAGAACACATGGACACAGGGAGGGTAGCATCACACACTGGGGTCTGTTGTGGGGAAACAGGGGAAGGACAGCAGCGGGTGGGGAGTTGGGGAGAGATAGCATGGGGAGAAATGCCAGATGTAGGTGGTGGGGAGGAAGGCAGCAAATCACTGCCATGTGTGTACCTATACAACAATCTTGCATGTTCTTCACATGTACCCCAAAACCTAAAATGCAATTTAAAAAAAAAAAAAGCTTGAGAGTTTGCGAATTTTCACAACCTTGATCCTTGTTATAAACCCCATCAAGGTAATATTCAGGTTCCAGAACAGAAGGTTTACCACATCGTAAGCCAGAAAGAAACGCAGCTATTTTTTATGTGTTAATCCAAATTTTTTGATACTGGAAGTTGGCCTACACCAAGAATAACAGCCATCCAGACTGGCTTGACAGTGTAGAATAGGGACCATTTTAATGCAACCTCTCTCCAGTGTCCTCTTTAAAAATCTAAGGTGCCTGAGGTTTCAGTCTGCCTTTCCGTGTTCCTAATCTCCACACTTACAGGCTCCACCCAGACCTACTCACCCCTCCTCTGCAATTTAAGGCTCAAAATTACTGCTGCTCATTAAGATGTTTATTCTCTACAGATGATCTCAGCAACCAGTTTGGAAAATGACAAATTATTTCACCCAGGTGAGACTTGTGGCCTGCACTATCCTAAAGGATATTTCCTTTTCTTTTCTTTTTGAGATGGAGTCTTGCTCCATCACTCAGACTAGAGTGCAGTGGCACAATCTCAGCTCACTGAAGCCCCAACCTCCCAGTTCAAGTGATTCTCCTGCCTCAGCCTCCCGAGTGGCTGGGACTATAGGCCTCCATCAACATGCTCAGCTAATTTCTGATTTTTAGTAGAGATGGGGTTTCACTTTGTTGGCTAGGCAGGTCTCGAACTGCTGGCTTCACGTGATCCGCCTGCCTTGGCCTCCCAAAGTGCTGAGATTACAGGCATCAGCCACAGCACCCAGCTGACCTTTACTTTCTAAAAGGCAATGTTTATCAATAGAGATGCTGAAATTGTAGACTTTCAGGCTTTAAAACTAGGTAAAGAACTGGGTGCAGTGGCTTACGCCTGTAATCCCAGCACTTTGGAAGGCCAAGGTGGGAGAATCACTTGATGCCAGAAGTTGGAGACCAGCCTGGGCAACATAGTGAGACAGTCTCTACTAAAAGTAAAATAATTAGTGGGCATGATGATGTGCACCTGTAGTTTCAGCTACTCAGGAGGATGGCTTGAGCCCAGGAGTTCGAGGCTGCAGTGAGCTGTGACTGCACCACCGCAATCCAGCCTGGGCAACAGTGAGACTATGGGGGGAAAAAAAGGAATGAAGTATTGATACATGCTACAACTTGGATGAACCTTCAAAACATTATACCCAGTTTAAAAACAAAGTTATAGAAGAAACATATTATGATTGTATTCATATTGAAATGTGCAAAATAGGTAGATCTACAGAGACAGATGTAGACTAGTGGTTGCCTAGGGCTAGGAGTTGAAGGCAGGGCAACCTGGGGGAGATGGGGTTTGGGCTTTTCTTTTAGGGTTAATGAAAATGTTCTAGAATTGTGGTACTGGTTATACAGCCCTATGACTACTATACTAACCATTGAATTGTATACTTTATTTTTTTAATTTTAATTTTAATTTTTTTTGAGATGGACTTTTGCTCTTGTTGCCCAGGATGGAGCACAGTGGCATGATCTTGGCAAACTGCAACTTCTGTCTCCCAGGTTCAAACCATTCTCCTGCCTCAGCCTCCTGAGTAGCTGGGATTACAGGAACCTGCCACCACACCCAGCTAATTTTTTGTATTTTTAGTAGAGATGGGGTTTCACCATGTTGGCCAGGCTGGTCTCAAACTTCTGAGCTCAGGTGATCCATCTCCTCAGCCTCGCAAAGTGCTGAGATTACAGGCATAGCCATTGTGCCCAGCCTGTACACTTTATTTTTAAGAGTGTCTCGCTCTGTCACCTACGAGTGCAGTGGCAGGATCATAGCTCACTGCAGCTTCCAACTCCTGGGTTCAGGAAATCCTCCCACCTCAGCTCCCAAGTAGCTAGGACTACAGGCACATTCCACTACACCTGGCTTTAATTTTTTAAATTTTTTTGTAGAGCTGGCTCTCGTTTTGTTACTCAGGCTGGTCTCGAACTCCTGGCCTCAAGCAATTCTCTTACTGTGGCCTCCCAAATGTCTGGGATTACAGGTGTGAGCCATTGTGTGTGGCGTGAATTGCAGTTTAAATCACTGAATTGTAGAGTATGTGAATTATTTATCAATAAAGCAATTAAAATGTTTTAAATAAGTAGGATAAGGAAATTGCTGTACTTTTATATTAAAACATTACATATATATACATGTTTTTTTTTTTTTTTTTT